ACTCTTGCTCAACACCTCATGCCAGCACAATTTCTAGATGAGGTATACTGCAGAGACTCCCATCTAATCCTCCCAAGGCAAGGTGAGAACAGATTTACTTTATTGGTCAATAAAGTTTTGGTACCAAGCATTATTCTCCCATGTCCCCATCTTATTAATGTGCAAAATCGAAGCCGTTGGTTATTCAATTTAATTGCACCCGAAGCTGAGAATAATGCTCCCGTGGATGAAATGGAAGAAGAAATGAACAACAATCAACAAAACCATCTCACCATGGAAACTCTCTACCAAACCATGCAACAGATGCAAAACCAACAAAACGCAACATTTGCATTGGTACAACAAATGCATAACAACTACAACACCTTGAATACAAATGTTATTGACCTTGGAGTTTCTATGCACTCACTTCACCTACGCTTGGACGAATTCGTACCTCCACAACGCCAAGATGAGCGCCGTCCAAGAACTCGAGGAAGCGGACGTCGTCCACATCGTAACGATTAGTTCTTAATATTTCTTTTCTTTTTATTTTTGTATTTTTTGATTCCCCATTTTTAAGCATTTAGGACAATGCTCAGTTTAAGTGTAGGGGGTCGAATTAACTATTGTTATCTTTCTTCAAGTAAGCAAATTTCCCTTTTGTAATTTCCCTTATTTCCCTTTTGTTATTAAAATTAAGTCTTATATACATATATAAGTTCATGATTATCCGAATTCGCCAAATTCTTGAGCCATAAAAAAAAATTTTTTTTTGGTCAGACGCACAATTATACACACTCAAAAAGTGTATCAAAGTTGCTTCTTTAGAAGAAAATATTTAGTACCAACGCTTTAAAATCTCAGGAAAATGAATTAAAATTTTAGTACCCTTTATATACCGAAAATTTAAATTCTAGGTTTTAAAGTAACCTTTAGTAGTTTATACAAGCAGTCAGCACCGTCTAAATAGCAAACTACGTGGAGGATCGATGAATATAAGTGATTGATCGAAAATAAAAAAAAAATATAAAATATATATATATATATATATATATATATATATATATATATATATATATATATATATATATATATATATATATATATATATATATATATATATATATATATATATATATATATATATATATATATATATATATATATATATATATATATATATATATATATATAATATTTTTAGAAACGCTCTAACTAAGTTAGATAGTCCTTACCAGACTATTTAGCCCAACGGTCGCGAACCTTATAAATTATCAATTAATGAATTCTTTGTAAATTGGTTCAGCGGTTTCTGGTGTTGGACTTGGTAGGACGAACTACGGTTCAATTCCCCGCAATTTACAAAAGAACAAAAAAAAAAGGAGTTACCAACTATTAAGTACCAGAACTCCTAGCAGGCTTAAAAGATCAAATTCACTAACCGGTCACTCCACTATGTGCGCGAAAGGGCAAAGGGCTTAATGTGATTGCGCCTGAATGAAAAAGGTGAAACAAAATGTAGGATTTAGAGTTAAGTTATAATGGCGTCACTAGAATTGTTTTTCGAACCTGAGTTTATTTAGTATTGTTACGGTGACTTTAGTATCGAAGTCGAGAGCTCAAGAGCAATGTGCAACTTAATACATTTTTTGACTTGTGGCAATTTTTGTTGCGTCTGACCCGTATTTAGAGAGATATATATTTCTTGCTTGAGGACAAGCAAAGGTTCAAGTGTATGGGAGTTTGATAACACGATTTTATATCGTATAAATCGACTTAATTAATGCAAATAATTCATGTTTTTATTTAATTTATTTTATTTTATTTCCATATTACGCTGGTATTTCTTTGTTTCAGGTATTTTGCCTCAAATAAGCTTATGTGAAGAAAAATGAAGAAATAGATGCAATTTAATACAAAAATGAAGATAATTGAGCAATGTGGTGCAGATTAGTAAAAGGGGGGTGAAAAGAATGAAATTGCAAGGCCCAAAAGAAGAATGTACGTACAAAGACCCAAGGGAACGCACGTTCCCCACTTCAGCTTGAAGGGACCGACCGGCCCACTAAGGGGAACGACCGGTCCGGACCACTTCAGCTGAGTGGAACGACCGTTCCCTGCCCTTTCCTATTCTCACGCCATTTCCTCCTCACACGGAACGACCGTTCCCTGCCCTTTCCTATTCTCACGCCATTTCCTCCTCACACGGAACGACCGGTCCCAAGTCAATGAAGAAACCTACTTTTGCTATATTTCCGTGCACGTTATGCAACAAAGTCCACTATCAATATTTTTTGGATATTCAGTTTTACGTGGATTGACCTTTTGGGATACAATTATTTTACAAGCATTATAAATAGAAGTGAAAGCAAAATCCCAAGGGTCGGAGAATTCTTGCAAGATCATACTATTTTCAGCAGAGCCAATTTCCTTCCATTTTAATTTTTGTTCTGCTCTTTTTCTTTATTTTTTATTTCATCGCATTGTTTTTATTTCTTTTCTTCTCCAGTTTTCTGCCTTTATTTTTCGTACAACGATTTCTACACCGGGAATTGTTGTGCAATTTTATCCGGTTTAACCTTACGTTAGATCCGGTATTTTTACTTTCTTGTTATTATTAAATTCAAGATTCGACGAGTAGATCCAACCGGCTTGTGGTGGAATACTCCAAGGTTTTTGAAGAACGCATTTAATTGAAGTTATTGAAGTTTTCTACATTTCCAGGTTTTTAATTTAATCGCTTTTATTTATTTATTATTATTACATGTTTGTTATTATGGATATGAATTTATATAATTGTTCGCAATTTAATTATCTATGCGTATTTAATTTAATAAACATGTCCGGCTAAACCGATTAAATATCGGTATGTAAATTAACCAAATAACGGGATCCGAGATAAATTGGCTTAATATTATTTTGTAAAAGAAATACCTTTCATGGTTTTAATATTCAATTGAATTGTTTAAGATTTTATAAATCAATAGAACGGAAGTTTGAGGTTTTAAAATTGATTAAGGTTTTTACTAATAAAACGGAAGTTTGAGGCTAAAACCAGATAGTGATTATTAGGCATTGTTTTTAAAGAGGCGGAAGCATTTTAAAAACAATTAAATTTTATTCTGTTTTCAAAAATTACTTTTGAATCCGGCAGAGTGACGGAAGCACACGTTAGGGTATTAATCGTATAACCTGAACTAATAGAACAGAAGTGTGAGGGGAAGGTTTTTAGACAAATAAAGTTTGCGTAAAGATAATTTTTGACCAATTTAAGTAAAGGCCAGTGGAAATTCGGAACCCAAAATTTAGGTGAAATACATACCGGTATTTATAATTAAAAATTTTATAACTAAATTTAGTAATTAGATCCCTTTCGTCAATTAAATTAATATTAGCCTTAGCTTTACCCAGTAACCAAAATTACGGTAGATCGATTCATAGTCCCTGTGGATTCGATATCTTTTAAGACTACGCGATAGGACTGTGCACTTGCAGTCTCCAGATTTATAGACATACAAAGTCGCGATCACTTACCGCGACATTTTGCGAAAACAAACGCAAAACGCGAACGAGTATTCCAAAACAGTCAGTTCTTTCCCACCGTATCACAACATAAAAAACTTGTTTTTCTTGGGATTCCATTATGAATAGTTCGTTTATATAAGTCGCCTTTCGAAGATCAACCTGTATGAATCATAATTCATCAGATTTCTATACATGTGTTACTGTCAATCCATTTGCACTTAAATAAAGACACTTTAAAAGTAACATAATCAATCTCCATAATCTCCTAAATGATCCCAAAGTACGCTCTAGATGACAGTACATTCAAATTCAACCATAACCCCACTATTTTACACGGTACTGCGATCATCCTTTGATTTTATATAGAATGAATATTTAGTAATTTCTTATGCACTCCAAGTTATTGCATTAAACTTAAGAATATGTGTATGAGTCTTTTCTCTTTTAAAATACTCAACCTCCACTTTTCTAAGTAATATGAGACTTCAAACTCAAACTTGTACACACTCTCCAACCATCATTTAGATTATCATCTTTTTTCATTGGAGACCCTTATTTGTCAATCACTATCCAACTATTAGTGGTCACCTATCATATTGACCACCAAAGTCAATTTTCACTTCAACCACCTTTAACCACCACATTGACAACCATAAATCATCACTTTAATAATTATTGTTGCATGTCTACCGATCACCATTCAAATAATCATCACATCTGATAATCATCACCTTCAACAACTATTATTTAAATTATTACTAAATAATTTATATTTTTTTAAATAATTGATAACTCATGTGATATGACATTAAAATAAGTTGTTTAACTATTAAAAAAATAAAACTCAAAACTAAATTTGGATTTTATTTTTAAAAATTTTAAAACTCAAAATGAAAACTAAAAATATGTCACTAAACTTTAAAAATGGAAAATTAAATTGATAGATTCCTTCACTTGAAATATTTATATTCGTGTCGTGTTGATCTCGCTCTTTTATATTACTTTTTCTTAACATTTACTTTAATATGTTAACTATATTTGCGACTAATAATGCATTAGTAAGAACAAGTAATAACATATGTTATCTTTTAATATATTATGTTACGGTGAATATTCCGATATCTTTGAATTTAGTTAGATGTATGTACTTTATCTAATGAAACAATAATGTTCAATATCATGTCATATTTAAATATTATTTTATTTTAAAATAAATTAAATTTTTTAATTTATTTGATACTTACAATCAACCAAACCTGATGGATATTAAGGAATTTATCTTATTTTATTTATACAATGCAATAAAAAAAGACTTAGTATCAAATATATTTATATTTGATACTATGGCCCACACTATCTCCAAAAACCTATAGGTAGGTTATAGCCTTTCATTACCTCTAAGTAACTTGTGTATGTATTCCATTCTTTACTCAAATTTGTCACACTCCAAAACAAAACACAATGTCAAATTGAGCTACAAAAACATATATAAAATGGTGTCTTGTTCTTCTCTTTCACCATTCTTCCATATTCCAACTTTTTTGATCCAACAAAAGAAACAACAACTACTATTTAAGGTTCCTCCATTTCTTCATCAAACTAACCTTCCTTCTCCTTTGAGTTTGAGTAGAAAAAATCTTCACAAATGCTTCTCACAACAAAAAGAAGAAGAAGAAGCATCATTTCAATTTGAGCGTTTGTTCTCAAACATTAACCAAGTTACTTTAAAAAGAGAACCTGGTTGGTGCCATTGCTATTTGCACACCTCTTTTTCTCTTCTGTTTTATGTTTCTTTAGTGTAAATTTTGCAATGACGTGAATATAACTTTATACATGTATTTTTTTTTTTGTGTGTTTTGACATTAACAGGAAGCTTATCTAGTGCAATTTTCCTGGTTGCAGGTACTACGGTGAGAAACTCTTGCTCTTTCTTTTTCTTTACTTCCAAGTTTTCTATTATTAGACTTGAGCACCGATTATCAGATTATCGGTGACTATCTAGCACTGACACTTCATATTAAAGACGTGATATGTGTTTGTCATTGACACGTAGTTACATTCAATTACTTTTGTTTTCTTGAACTATTATAGGTCTTTACGTATCAGTGTTACGTGGCTAGTATGACTACTGTGTCGGGTGTCCGTGTTTGTGTGAGTGTTTGATAGATCATGCATTAGTCTCTAGATGTAAATATTAAGATATGCCCTTTTGTTTTGAAGTGAGACTGCTCACATTTAGTATGCATATAGCTACAAAACTTGTGACAACTTTCAACTTTTTACTTATTAGGGTTTAATTGCATTTTTTCAAGCATGATTTGTTCAAATGCTTTGAAATATTGCAGGTAGGTGCAGGAATACTTGCAATCCCTGCAGTGACACAAGAATCAGGCTTTTTAGCATCCACAGTTACTTGCATTCTTTGTTGGTTATTCATGGTAATTATCATTTCCTATTATGCTTTTTTCTATATAGACTATACTTTTATTTCCTCTTCTGAAAAATAATCACTTATATGCAAAAGCACTTCTGTTGAGAACTCTTGCAGGTTGTCACAGGTTTGCTCCTTGCTGAAGTAAATGTCAACACCATGTGTGATCTTGGTTATGGCGGCGTATCATTGGTAACTCCCTAACCGAACGATACTAAATTCTAGAGAAAAAGTTACGAGAAACGTAACTTTTTTTATACTTTTTTATACGTGCATCCAATCAAGTTACACTGATGCCACTTTTTGAAGTTTTTGTTTTCGAGACAATTTTTAGTAACTTGATCTTGATTAAGTTCAGGTGTCAATGGCTAGAAGAACTTTAGGGACATTAGGAGTTCAAATTTCATCGTAAGTTTGATAAATCAGTGATTTCATGTTATTTCATTCATTTCTCTAAGAAATATTTAACAATAGTTGCGATTTTCTTGCAGTTGGTCATACATCTTCATCCATTATGCAGTTTTGGTTGCCTATATAGCTCGTTCTTCGGATATCTTGACAAATTTTCTTCACATTCCAATGTACAAGCTATTAATTAGGCCTTAATTTATGCCTGAATTTTCATATATCTTTGGTATTTCAAGCATTCAAAGTTTGTTAGAGGCTAACACTAGCATCTTGGTTACAGATGGGAAAGTGGAACTTTGTTTTCATTGATTTTTGGAGGGATATGCTTCTTTGGAAGGTTTGTTTTTCTTTCTACATGCTTTCAAGAACGGAAAACTTCTTTTGTATCAAGTTCTGAAACACTGACTCAGACACGACACTGATACGTAGACATCGATAATAATTAAAGAAAATGAAAAAAAGGATTGAATGTAGCCGTTTGTGTTGATGTCATGTTAGACACTTGACTGACTGACACGTCTTCGATCTGAATTTTCGGTGCTACATATTGCATCCTCTTAACCGACAATACTTCATTGTGATTTGTAGCCAGCGCTTTATCGGTGCAATTAATGGTGTTCTAGTAATTGGAATCATCAGCTTTTTTGTAGCTCTTGTGGTAAGATTTTTATTCCAAAACTTATGAAATTTCTTGTATAATTATCTCTTATCTATTATATGATTCATAGGGCTCAAAAAATGATTTATAAACCATATTTGTTCATGTAGAGACTAAGATTTGTTTTTCATAACTAGGCAGTTGCAAGTGGAAACCTGCATTTGGATGCTCTTTTAAAAGCAAACTTCCAAGCAGTTCCTATGAGTATACCAATCATTGCACTTTCATTTGTTTACCATGTAACTTCCCTATCCTCAAGTTGTTGACTATGAAGCACAAACACAGACACAAGCTGGTGTCCGACACGGACACGGACACGGACACTGAGACGTCTATTTTCAGAGTTGTCAGTGTTTCAGACGACTTGTTGAACAATAGACAAGGTTTTAACCCTTTGATTGTATTCTTATACAGAATGTTGTACCTGTTCTTTGTACAAATCTTGAAGGAGACTTGTTAAAAGTAAGGTGACAAATCTCATCTTTGCTCTTTTCTTAAACATCAACAAGTTATGCATATTTGAAATTTTAAACTTTATTGTATCACTTTTTTTATGCAGGAGTGCAATAGTACTAGGCACTGGTATACCTCTTGTTCTGTTTCTCATTTGGAATGGTGTTATCCTAGGAACTGTTGGTGACAGTCCAATGGGATTAGATCCATTACAACAGTTGAGATCTTCAAATGGAACAATTGGAGTAAGTTTTTTATGACAGAATTCACTTTTTTTAGCAGATAATGCATTGAAGTTTCATGACTAGTTATTGAAACTTATTTTCTTGCACTTAATCTGATTCTGCAGCCTATAGTTGAGGTCTTCTCATTTCTTGCAATTGCTACTTCTTACATTGGATTTGTTTTGGGTTTGACAGACTTTCTAGCAGACTGTATGTATATTATATTTCCAATTTCTCTTATCTTTTGATAAACGCTAATAGAGAAATTTCATCGAAATATTCTATGTATTATCACGTACTATGAAGCACTGACATAAATACTGACATGCTGGCACTTGACACTGGTGATAATTTGAAAAAATGATGTGATTAAGTGCAATCACATATATTAGTGTCGAACATTGACACATGTTAGATATCAAATATACTTTTATCTGAAGTGTCAGTACTACATAGATTAGTATCTGAATGGTACCTTTATTGTGTCAATGATACCTTTATTGTTTCACTGTGTGGATTTTTTTCAGTGCTGAATCTCCCAACAGGACAAAACAAACCTCTTCCATATATACTAACTTTAATTCCACCCCTTTTACTCTCATTATTGGACCCTGAAATATTTTTCAAAGCCTTGGACTTTGCTGGAACATATGGAGGTAAATGCTCAATATCTTCAGTACCATGTTAATTTTAAGGGAATATCATTCTTACAACCCTCTAGCTCACTCGCGAAGGGAGCCGTGGTAATCCAGAGATCAGCCAGGGTTCGAACACGGATTCTTCCGAATGATTCATTTTAATCCGACTAAACTTGACTTCACAGGTTTTTTCATTGTTTCTTTCTTGTCATTGACAGTGTTGCTGCTTTTCGGAATTATTCCGGCCGCAATGTCCTGGTCTGATAGGAACTCAAATTCATCTTCATCTGTGAAACTACCTGAACTTGTTCCAGGAGGGAGGATAACCCTACTAATGGTGCTTGGTTGTTCAGGATATGTTATTCTTTCTGAATTATTTGAGAACTTCCAGCATCTATGAGAAAAGCATCATCATATGAACATATTTTTACACCTTTTTGTCAGATTCTGTTTGTAATTACTATTAAAGCATATTAAAAGTCTTTTAGTGTAAAGTTATATACAAATAGTACTATTCCAATTTGATAAAATTTCAGCTTAAATCCTTATAACTTAATTTGATTTCAATATTATTTAAAGTATATTTCAAGGGCTGTGTAGATGTTATGAACTGTCCATTTTGCATCCAATATACTCCACAACCAAAAGTAGTGGTTCAATGGAGTTTTTCCAGCTTGGCAAAGATAGCGGATCAATTTGCCTTTGATTGCAGTGACCAACTATACTATAAGGGGACAAAACATATATAAGTATCTTGCCCTTGATGCAAATATTTCAAGTGATAGAGCCTGGTTGAAATCAATTTGGGTCGTCTACGAAGGTGTGCAAAATAGACTACATCACATGACCTCAAATTTATTAGAGTTAAATTGTGATTGTCAGAATTAAACTATGATTAAATAGGATGTCTGGTTATTTTGTCGCAGATGAACCATGACTAGCCTACATATGGCCGCCAAAAATTGGCCAAAAATTTAAGACCGACCTAAATTAAATATTCATTGCATAGCACCAAACAAAGTTAAGGGAACCAAAAGAGGAAAGGAACATTCAAATTATATAATGCAGGTGAAAGCTTCAGAGAGATTCAACTTACTGAATAATAATAACATGTACAAAGATTTTTAACATACTTCTATCTACCATTTCCCTTGCATGAGAAAAAGTTGAAATTACAATATTAATATACTCTTACCATCTGATTTCAAATTACAAGCATTATTCAACGTGCAGTGATACTTAATCGACGAGACGAAATACGGCTTTTTTAGTTATCGTGCCATCCATGGTAACTAGTTCCATTATTCTGATCAGCATTGGTTGAAGAAGTGCTTCCCTCAGAATATTGATTATTGTTTGAACTAGAAGAAGAAGAACGGAATGGCCACAGAAACGAAAATGGATTTCTCCTTCCATTGTTCTGACGGTCACTCTCCCTGTTACTTGAGCTACCATTTCCACCATTGTTACCACCATTCCTTCCTCCACCCCAACTTCGATTACTACCACCACCACCACGAGAACTAACTTGTCCTTGTGGTGGCAGCTCGACACGACAAACAGGACACGAGTTATGTTGAACCAACCAAGGAATAATACAGTCAGAATGGTAAATATGGTCGCATGGCATCTCTCTTGCTTCAGAACCAAGTTCGAATTTTTCTTTACAGACTGGACAATGTGAATCCGAGCGAAGATGCGCCTGTGTGATTCTAATCGTCGGCATTGCATCAATTGAAGATCGAGCAGCTGGGGGTGGACCACGCCGATCATTCATGGTGAGTTGTTCAATGAGTTCTTCCAGTCCAGAACCCATAAAGTAGTCACCAAAATCACCGCGCCTCGGACCACCTCTCGAGCTTCCATTAGGCAAGTTTAATCCAGGAACCTGACCGTGAAATACTAAAAAAGGACCAGAACTATAAACACCCCAACTCTGTTCAGGAACCGGGACAGCCGAACCGGACCTCCCTCTAACATCAAAGTTCGGGTGCATTCCAGCCATCCTATGCCTCATGAAATTATCAACGGCGTCCATAAGCCCAAACCTGTTTTCAGAACCTCTGTTCCCCATAAAAGCGTGAATAGCATCAAATAAGTCAGGCATTTGATGAAACTCGCCCGAGCGTGACGGAAGGGTGTTTTGGGGTGTAACGCCTCGCATCTCATCAAGTTCTTGTACAAATCCGTCATCACAGTAAGGGCAGACAATGTCTCTCCCTTCAAGCACAATTGGCCGACTGCATTCATAACACCAATGCATTGCTCCACTTGACATTCTTCAACTGTATTCAGAAATAGTAAAACACACATCAAATTTTAATTTTCCTTAATCATATCTATATGTACCTATCTATCTATGATCTATGAAGCATGCACACAGACACTGGACACAACACCGACACTGAAGCGCCATTTTCAGACATGTCGGGGCTACAGAGTCTATTCTACTGTTAGTATATGTCTGCAAATCATTCACCCCAAACTGAAACAAACCCTTAAGATTCAACATCCCAATTTGGCAATAGTTGAACATCACAAAATGCAAATCAGATTCTAGATATAGAGTGTAAACAACAACTACAATGAAAACTTTCAGATTCTATCACACAAAACCTTTTTCCCCTTCTAACAACAAAGAACAGTTCCAACAATAATCAGGGGAAACAAACTTATGCACACATTCATCATAAATGAAAACAATTTACCCTAAATTAATCCAAAAAACCACCAAAGAAAAACAATTAGCGACCAAAATTCATAACCAACCAAAATCTGAAAATTTTAGGGTAAGAGTTAAACACAGTAATAAAAGAACAATTTTTTTCAAATGGGGTTTCAGTTAATCAATACCCATTTACTCATATAACAAGATTACGCTAAAATTCATACAGAATCAATGAAAAACTGAAGAAGAAGAAAGATGAAAAATTCAGGGTTCATGAGAGTGAACTTACAAAAGAAAATAGCAAGAACTCAAAGTTTAGTGACCTGAGATTCTGAAGAGAGAGAGAGAGAGAGAGAGAGAGAGAGAGAGACTTGCGTGCTTTGTTATGAGGAAAATGACATTTGGTTTTTCACCACTTGAGATTAGAATAATGACTCATTCTTCTCTTTTTTTTTTTTTGTAATAAAATAAAAATAAAAGGGAAGAAAATACTTTTGTAATAAAATAAAAATAAAAGGGAAGAAAATATTGTACCAAAAAAAGAATATATTAAGTGTATGGGTAATTTCCATGTAATAGAAGTTCAATAATATAGAGTTTACTTTTGACCAAATCAAATATAGAAAGTTTGAAGGTAATTTAACCATATAGCCATTTGGATAAGTTTGACTTCAATAAATAAGAGATTTTAAAGAATTTAAAATGAAAGTTATGTGAGGTATGTGAGATTGTATGGAGAATTTAAAAATATATTGAGAATGGATAAGTTAGATGAGAATGAATAAAAATTGTTAAATTTAAAAGAATATTTTATTTTATTTTATTTTATAAAAAGAAAAAAAAATTTATTGAATTATGTGTCAAAATTTTTAAAAATTGAATATTTTTAAAATGTAAGAAATCACTAATTACAATTAAAAATATTTTTTAATTATAATTATTAATTTAAATCAAATAATTGTTATTAAATTTTTAAATTCTCATATAATTTATTCATTTTTATTTGATATTTCCTTTGTAACGAATTATAAGTAAATTTAATTTTTTTAATATATTTGGTAATTAATATATATAATTTATATATGGAATACATATATTAATTGTTAAATATATATAAAAAAATTATTTATAATTCATTATAGAGGGAGTATGTATACCATATGAGTGATAATTTTATATGAGCAAGTGAGGAATGAGAATAAGAATCAATAGCATTAATAAATTTGAAAATAGAGAAGAGAGAAAGTTGAATGAGAATAAATATGATACATGTCTTGTTTAAGTGATGTTTTAATCTAATTCAATTATTTTAATTTAATAGTTCAAATTCATTCTCATATTCTATTTTTTATGTGAATTTTATCATCTATATTCTTTAATTTAACAGTTTTAATTAAAAATAATATTATATATTTTGGTTGACAATTAAAAATAAAAATTTATCAGAACTAATACTTTTATAGGTTTTAAGAACAAAATTTAAAAATTTTAGTTTATGAAACTAAAATAAAATAATTTCCTTCTTAATTGCATCTCTTAAAATTGTTTTCAAATTTTTAAAACTTATTTCCAAGAACTAAAATAAGTTTTGAAAATAAAATAATAAAAATTCTCCCATTGACACCAATTACTACAATAATTTTAATTTCAAAATTTTACTGACACATTTTAATATTTTGGAGTTTTTAGATTTTTAGACACTATCTAAATAAAAATAAAATGCACTAAACAGTATAAGTCCTTATTATTTTTATTTATATAAGAATTTTATTAAGTAAAATAAATAGACCAAAATTATATAATAGTTGAAGATTATATAAGTACACATTATACGGTAATTTTAAAAAAGTAAATAAACTAAAATTCCTATTTAAACTAAAATCATTAAGTTCATAGATAGAAATTGAAAATTAAAATTAAAATTTAAAATTAATTTTTATTTATGTTTTTCGAACAAAATTAAAACTTTTAATTTTTGAAACTAAAATTAAAACTATGAGAAGCAATTTAAGGGGTAAATTAAAATTGTCTGATTTTGAATTTGTTATTATTTTGAAAGTTACAAATATGATATACTCTTAGGATGACTTTAAATTGCAGAAAGTAAATTGCATAAACATAAATGATATAAAGTAATTATATTAATTTTTCTTATAAACTAATGGTACGCTTAGTTTTTTTTCCAGGATTTTCTACTATGTTAAAGATCTTTGTACAAGTCTCACACTAAGATTTTTTTACAACCTTCTAAAACATACATATGCATCAAACCTACAATGGACTTTGAATCACCTTAATTAAAAGAACATTTTCATAAATACCAAACACTATGACGGACTTTGAATCAACCCAATTAAAAGGAATTTTTTACAAATACCAAATACTATAGTGGACTTTTAGTTAACCCAATTTAAAAGATCTTTTTACAAACATCATATGATAGACTTTAAATCAACTCAATTCAAATGATCTTTTAACAACACCAAATACTATGATAGATTTTGAATCAACTCAATTCAAAGGATCTTTTTAAAAGAACTTATCACTACAAGTTTGATGATTAAGCCGCAATATGTTTTAAATAATGAGATACAATTATTTTTGAAATGATTTCTGTTCTGGACTGGGCCCACCCTGGGCTAAAGCGCAGATAAAGGCTCAATCCAAGCAGACTCCTCGAGGAATGCGCACCCGCGGATCACCGTCGACGTGCCCGACCACCGACTGTAGCC